CGCCGGCGCTCGCTCAGCGCGCGGGGTCCAAATAATTATTTCTTTATGTGTCTTATATTGCATTTTCTATCTACTTTAAAGATTTTTCATTTAACTTTGACTTTTAGTGGTTTGATTGTAATATGTCTAGGCATGGGTTTTTTTTTTTTTCTTTCTTTCTTTTTCTTTCTTTCTTTTTAAGGAGATTTTTGCTGTAGGGCGTTCACTGGAGAGAAAGAGAGACAGAAAATGAGAAATCATCCCCCGGGGGGGTGATGTCCAACCCACAATCCCTTCTCCTCCATTCTCTCAGGATGGTGGGTACATGCACACATACCAGCATGAGTTTCAAGCCACAGGGTCCCGGGTGCAAACCATGATTGGCCAAGTGGGAGTCCAGTGACGTAACCACTACATCTTCTGCTGGTCCCTAGGCATGTTTTTGTCATTCCTATTTTATTCTCCTTGGGATTTGTTGAGCTTCTGAAATCTCTAAGCTTTTGTTTTTCACCAAATGTTAAAAGTTTAAGGCCATTATTATTTATTTTTTTCAAGTACATGTTTTTCTGCCCAGTCTCTCTCTTTTGTCCTTTGCCAGAAGGACTAAATGTCTACATGTCCTTCCCAGTTCCATGCAGACATTTGCACATTTCACACAGATTTTGGAGTTCCATTAGCACTTTCCAGTCATTATTCTCTTTGTTGTTCAGGTTATTTCGTTTCTGTCACTCTGTCTTCACATTCATGGGCTTTTTCTCGTGCTTTGCTCATTCTGTTATCGAACCCATCTAATGATTTATTCCTGTTAGGGATTGTATTTTTCTGTTCTAAAATCTCCATTTGGTTCTTCTTTGTAGTTTCTGTTAGTCTGCTAAGAGAGTTCATATTTTCATGCAATTCAGGGATATTTTCCTTTTCCTCATGAAGCATGGTTTTAACGGTTGCTTTAAAGTCTGATAATTCTGACTTCCAGGACATTCAGGGTCACCACCTCTTTTCTTTCCCCTTGAAAATTGGCCATATTTTCTTGGGTCTTTTATGTGGAATAATGTTTTTTTAAATAATTATTTTATCTAACTTTATTTATTTGTGTGTGTATATGTATATGTATATCTGATATGTATACGTAGAGAGAGAGATTTATTCAATTTGAACAGAAAGGGACAGAGTAGGGATGGGGAGTGAGAAAGCAAGATGCCAGGTCTGGGACTTGAGCTGCAGTCAGCCATGTGAGAGTCCAGTGCCTTAAAGACCACACCACCTGCCAGCCCCAATGTGAAGTAATTTTAAGTGGCATGCAGGATATTATCAATGTAATGTGTTTTGTTTTTATTTATTTATTTATATTTTTTTTTGAGAGAGATTTGCTACAGGGTGCATGTGCTTGCCAGGGAGACAGAGAGACAGAAAGTGAGAAATCACCCCCCAGGGAGGTTGGCCACACCACAGTCTCTTCTCATCCATTCTCCTCTTGGGATTTTGGGCATACATGCACATGCTCCCAGCTTGAGTTTCAAGCCTCCAGGTCCAGGACTAGGATGGTGGTCTGCTCTGTGGGAGTCCAGCAATGTAACTGTTACACCATCTGCTGGACTCATAATTTGTTAATTCTAGGTCTTATGTTACTATCCAAAAAATACTGATGTTTTTAGTTTAATAGGTAGTCAACTTATGTTAAAACTATAAGTTTTATCTCATTTACTTTTGCTTTGTTGGTCTGGTCTGTCCTGGTTCAGAGGGTTAGTCTGAGACTTAATAAGAATGGTTCAAATCTCCTACTGAATTCTCTGTAGCATTTTCTGCATTGGTTTGGATGTGTTTTGTGCTTCTGTTATTCAGAGTTTAGGTTAAGACTTGTATATTCTTTTTTTTTTTTTTTTTTTTTTGAGGGTTTTTTTTTTGGGGGGGCATTCTCACCCGAATTTTTTTTGAGAGGTTTTTGCTATAGGGAGATAGAGACAGAGAGAGAGAAAGCAAGAACTCACCCCCCAGGAGGATGGCCTTCTCCAATCCCTTCTCCTCCATTCTCCTCTCAGGATCTTGGGCATGTACGCATACGCACCCAGTGTGAGTTTAAGCCACTGGGTCCAGGACTCAAACTACATGGGAGTCCAGCGACATAGCCATTAAGCTAACTGCTGGTCCCTAAGACTTGTGTATTCTAATGTTAATTACTTCAAAGCATTGCTAGTTTGAATCTGAACCATATGTATACAGCCCAGGGGTTGTTCCTAGACTAGTGTTGGTTATATACAGAATTGGAGTTTTCCTTCTCGGGCTTTCTCCCCTCTCTCCACACTCTTCAATCCACAGTGACCTATTATTCCTGGTCCTTTTCATGAAAAAGTAGGACTTCTACTGGAGTTTCTCCATGCGTTCCTGCGTGCTGCTCTGTGAATGACTTTGATTCTTGGGGCGAAGCTAAAAAGAATGGAACATCAAGTTACACTCTCCGCTGTGGAGGTTGCCTCTTTCCTACAATCTGTGTGTGTGTTTTCAGTGCTCAGATCTTGCTTCGGCTCCACAGTTTGTAGTGGTGATCAACAGGAAGATGGGCAGTGGTGGATTACACTCACAATGCGAGTTCTAGAACTCTTTGGGGGGGGTCCCGGAGGAAATATAGTGGTTAAGACTCTGAACTTCCACATGGCCAACTGCAGTTTGAATCCTGAACCCAACAGCTTCAAACTCAGGCCTGGCGCATATGTGTGTGTGCCCAAAGTCCTGAGAGGAGACTAGAGGAGAAGGGATTGTGTCATGGCCATCCCCACCCCACCTTCCGGGGGTGATTCTCATTTTCCCTTTCTCTGCCTTTCTCCATCTCTCTGGGGTCTCTCTCTGGGGAGTGCATGCACAAACAAAAATACTCCTTGGGTCTTGTTGTCATCAGCATTTTTCATTAATTCTGCGTTTTCTTTCATTATCATTCACTAACAAACCAGGCAAAATTACTGAAAGGTTAGAAGTTCAATACTATTCTAAAAAGGCTGTCTATAACTTTGCAAAAGAGAAATGACTACCACATAAAGGTATTTAACTTCATGCAGTTAGTAAAACAAGCCCACTGGCAACCACTGTGTTCCATGTGGAGAAGAAGGTAAAATAATTTCAGAATTTACCTTATTACTTAGTAGACGATAGACTCATTTTAGTGAATAAAAATCAGTAAGTAAAGATAATAAACACATTATGTGCAAAAGGAGTCCTCCCCGCCCAGGTCTAAATAGTGTTTTTATTTCAAAATAGTGAAAAAAAGGAGAGATACACAGTGCAACTTAGTTTTGAATTCATCTTCAAGTTAATGTAGTTTTACTGTCAGTGGGGAATCTAAATTAATGGCACTTTACATTTTATTAGCTAATTTGATTTTTTTTACAAGTTTTAAGAACATGTTTAAGAAAACCAAGGGACCAGCAGATGGCATAATGGTTATATCGCTGGGCTCCCTCATAGTCAACCGCAGTTCGAGTCCCAGACCCGGCTGCTTAAAACTCACACCAGGCATGTGTACGTGCGTGCCCAAAATCCCGAGAGGAGAAAGGAGAAGCAGGGATTGCAGTGTGGACATTCCCCCCACCCCCGGGGGGGGGAATTTCTCACTTTCTGTCTCTATTTCTCTCTGACTCTCCAGCGAGTACACACATTCTATAGCAAAAATCTCTCTTTAAAAAAAAAAAAAAAAGAAAACTAGTTTAGTATACTTGATTATTTCTTTGTTAGTATTTTTCTTAAGGTGGCTTAGGTGAGAGTTTCTAAACTGATTTTCATTACACCACAGATACTACCAGAGCAAGAAGAAGCCAGGAAAGTGATGGCGTTGAGTATATTTTCATTTCCAAGCATTTGTTTGAGACAGATGTACAGAACAACAAGTACGTGGAATTTCTTTAGAATCGTTGTGACTTATGTTTAAGTACCTACCTGCCTGTTATACGGTTTTAGACAACACAGGGTTCCACTCAATTTGAAGGTTATTTTACTTACCGTCATATTTGAAACTGATAAAAAGGAATGATTCAGTAATGATGATTCATTTTTACCTTGAATGTTTAATTAAGCTAGAACTGCTCCTTTCTTGTTAAGTTAAACATGTAGGAGTTGTTGTGGAAAGTGAGGGACGGTTGCTAATGTCCCATCGTGACCTCTTTTCTGCCTAGTAATTGAATCTTAGCATATACTTTGGATAGAATTTTATTTGAAAAACTAATGACTACTTCTGTAACATATCCCTCGTTCCACAATCTTCTACACACACACACACACACACACACACACACACACACACGCACACTCAAACACATTTGCTTCTTTCACTGGCTCTTCTAAAAATCGAAAGAACACATTAACCATCTCGCCTCTAGGGTACCCTCTATCAATCAATCGCTCTAAGCTTCTCCCCTCCCCAGGTTTTCCATTTGTTTAAACATGAATATTTCAAGGTATCAGAAACAATGTGTTTAAGGCAGGTTTGTGGGAGTTTATTGAAACATCAAAATGCCTTTTTCACATTTGGCACGGTAATTGTGCTTTTATAGCACCTGATCGGCTGCCCTGTCCCTGTGGCCACCACCCAGCCCCTGGAGCTCTGAGGCTGTGGTCGTTCTGTCATGTGCAGTGTCTGTCGTCTGGCTTAGTCCCTTTTTATTGCAGTACATTAGTCTGAAAAAGGGGCGATGGAAAAACGCACTACTGAGCTCAAGCGCTTTTTCTGCCTAAGTGTAACCCAAGCAAGTGTTACTGATTTGGAAATGTAAAATAGGAGATTCCTTCAAATTGACATTCTGAAGTACTTGGCCCTATTTATTTTATTAAACGCAGTGAAAAAAACGACATGTTCAGCAAAAATGGCTTTCACGTATGAATTATATCTTGCCGGCTGTAAATGTTTTACTCGCTCAAGTGTTTCTGATGCATCCCTAATTTTCTACAGGTTTATTGAATACGGGGAATACAAGAACAACTATTATGGCACGAGTATAGACTCCGTCCGGTCTGTCCTAGCCAAAAACAAAGTTTGTTTGTTGGATGTTCAGCCTCATGTAAGTAAATGGCGACCCGGTCGGTACCTTCTGACTCACAAAACCTGCTACCCTCCATGGGAGCGTTTCCGCGCCAGGTAAATGTGGTCTGCTCGCTTTGGGCATGTATGCAGCTTTTCTAAGAGGACAAAAGCACTCGGATGCCAATTGAGATGTCTTTGGTTAAAAAAAAAAAAAATCAGAAGAGAGAAGTGGACGGACCCCAAGACCTTTATAATTCGTTTTAGTCAAGTACAATGACTTTTAGATATTTCTGTGTATTTTTAAAAATACATTCTTATGCTGTTACATGCATAATGTATACTGTATGTGTTATGTATTGTTAGAAGTGCTTATAGTTTTTGATTATTTGTTCGTTTTTGTTTTCTTATTTTAGGTTTTTGCCATAGGGCACATGCTCAGAGTCAGAGAGACAGACAGAGGGAAAGTGAGAAATCATGCCTCCCGGGAGGATGGCCATGCTACAGTATCTCCTCTGTTCTCTTCTTAGGATTTTGGACACACGCGCACACGCACGCACGCACATTCACCTAGCCTGGAGTGAGTCTCAAGCCATTGAGTCCAGGACTCAAGCCACGGCTGGCCATGTGGGAGCAGCATCCCGTACCAACTGCTGGCCCTAGAATGTTGTCGTTTCTAACATTGGACGTTTGGTTCTCGGTCCTCCTTTGGTTCAGGCACTGTATGTGTCCTCCCTGTGCACACCTGCCCATAGAGCTGTGGGGCGTCTCCCAGGAATTGTACTGAATGAGATCCTTGTTACAGCCGTCAGGCAGATTTTTGCCTGTCATCCTAGGCACCCTTGGGGACATTCTGGAGAGTAGCCGTTGATGAAGCCATTCGCTTCCTTGTCAAGCCATACATCTTCCAGTTGATATTTGGCCTGGGGCATTTTCCTCACGTTCCGGAGGCCACAGATTCTCCCTCCACTAATGGCTGCTTTTTGGGGTGTACAACCCCCAAATGCCAGCCCTTTTACCTGTTAAGATGAATCTGGAGTAAGAGTCCCCCGTCTGAGCAGGGCGTCTCTCTCCTGTCGTGTGCCCCACCAAGCAATGGGGTAGCTCTGAGTGGGCAGAATCTCTCCATTAGTGTGCTGGGTCCAGTCGCTCCCGGTCTCCTGGGTGCTTTCAGCCCTTCATTTGCAGCGCCTTTACAGCCTCTCTGTCCCCTGTCCCTTCAGCACCACTGCTGTCCGCGCTCTCTCATACACACACAGGCTGTCCATCTGGCCTTTCAGTGGGGTCTGTCATTGACGTTCATCTTCTGGAGAGATCCTGACCTACAGCGGATGACTGCCATGTCACGTGACTCGCTTCACCACCTGCAGTCACCCTAGGGTATAGATGGAGTCCCCAGAGCATACTGTAGATACGGTGACATACTTTACGAGGAGTGCTGACTAGCTTCTTGGAGAGTAGGAAGCTGCCCTGTTAGGAGACTCTGAAGGGTAGAAGGAGAGAGGAGAACTCGTGCTACAATCAGGGAGAGGCATAAAGGGGTTGGCGCAAAGCCGTCCGTGGGTAGAGGTTATTTAGCTCATTGCGTCTGTGGGGCATTTGACCTCAGAAACAGTGTGTGATGTTTTTAGGTACTTCTGTTCAATATTAATGATGTATTCTGATTTTTTTTTAATTTCATTATTGGAATGTCAGTTTTATTTAGTAATATATTGGGTCATTGGAAAAGTCATGATGCACTTTTCTACAGTTGTTGGAAAAATGAATTTTCCGACGACTCAATATTATAAAATCAAAATTCTTTAAAATGCAAGTTACGGGGCCAGCAGATGGTATAATGGTTATGTCACCGGACTCCCATGTAGTTGACCGTGGTTCGAGTCCCAGACCCAGTGGCTTAAACTCATGCCAGGCGTGTGTGCGTGTGTGCCCAAGATCCCGAGAGGAGAATGGAGGAGAAGGAATTATGGCATGGCCATCCCCCCTGGGGGGTAATTTCTTGCCTTCTCTCTCTGTCTTTCTGGCAAGCACATGCGCCCTATAACAGAAACCTCTCCAAAAATAATTTAAAATAAAGTGCAAGTTACATTCTCTAGCTTCTTTTCAGGAGTACTTGTCATTTAATTGTCAAGAACTGATTGAATCATAATCTGTCAAAAGACCTACCGACCGTAATTAGAGAAAAAATTTAAGGAATTTTTTTCGTTAGAAAATTAGTCATGTGATGAAGAAATATGAGAAAACTTTTTTCTTCCTTGTAGACAGTGAAGCATTTAAGGACACTAGAATTTAAGCCCTTTGTGATATTTATAAAGCCTCCCTCAATAGAACGTTTGAGAGAGACAAGAAAAAATGCGAAGATCATTTCAAGCAGAGATGACCAAGGTGCTGCGAAACCCTTCACGGTAAGTACGGCAGCGCTGAGCGATAGGACGTTTGTGTTCACAGGGTCTTAGGAAGGCTGACCGAAGCCGCGGCCCAGGAGTCTTTGGAGGATGGACTTGTATTCAGGGACACGCATTTTTCAACAACTACACTATGATTAGTTTGGGGGCTGTGGATGAATTTCCATGTGAAATTGACTCAGAACTACTTTGTATGCTATTGTGCATGTATTTCAGACCCAACCTTCACGTAAGTTAAATTAGTTGCCAGACTAGCCAGCCTTACTTATTTTAATTGCTAAATAAATGTGTGCTCTCCAGAGAGACAGAAAGGCATAAAGGGGTTGGCGCAAAGCCGTCCGTGGGTAGAGGTTATTTAGCTCATTGCGTCTGTGGGGCATTTGACCTCAGAAACAGTGTGTGATGTTTTTAGGTACTTCTGTTCAATATTAATGATGTATTCTGATTTTTTTTTAATTTCATTATTGGAATGTCAGTTTTATTTAGTAATATATTGGGTCATTGGAAAAGTCATGATGCACTTTTCTACAGTTGTTGGAAAAATGAATTTTCCGACGACTCAATATTATAAAATCAAAATTCTTTAAAATGCAAGTTACGGGGCCAGCAGATGGTATAATGGTTATGTCACCGGACTCCCATGTAGTTGACCGTGGTTCGAGTCCCAGACCCAGTGGCTTAAACTCATGCCAGGCGTGTGTGCGTGTGTGCCCAAGATCCCGAGAGGAGAATGGAGGAGAAGGAATTATGGCATGGCCATCCCCCCTGGGGGGCAATTTCTTGCCTTCTCTCTCTGTCTTTCTGGCAAGCACATGCGCCCTATAACAGAAACCTCTCCAAAAATAATTTAAAATAAAGTGCAAGTTACATTCTCTAGCTTCTTTTCAGGAGTACTTGTCATTTAATTGTCAAGAACTGATTGAATCATAATCTGTCAAAAGACCTACCGACCGTAATTAGAGAAAAAATTTAAGGAATTTTTTTCGTTAGAAAATTAGTCATGTGATGAAGAAATATGAGAAAACTTTTTTCTTCCTTGTAGACAGTGAAGCATTTAAGGACACTAGAATTTAAGCCCTTTGTGATATTTATAAAGCCTCCCTCAATAGAACGTTTGAGAGAGACAAGAAAAAATGCGAAGATCATTTCAAGCAGAGATGACCAAGGTGCTGCGAAACCCTTCACGGTAAGTACGGCAGCGCTGAGCGATAGGACGTTTGTGTTCACAGGGTCTTAGGAAGGCTGACCGAAGCCGCGGCCCAGGAGTCTTTGGAGGATGGACTTGTATTCAGGGACACGCATTTTTCAACAACTACACTATGATTAGTTTGGGGGCTGTGGATGAATTTCCATGTGAAATTGACTCAGAACTACTTTGTATGCTATTGTGCATGTATTTCAGACCCAACCTTCACGTAAGTTAAATTAGTTGCCAGACTAGCCAGCCTTACTTATTTTAATTGCTAAATAAATGTGTGCTCTCCAGAGAGACAGAAAGGGGGGGAGGGAGAAGGAGAGGGAGAAAGCCCTGCCAGCGGGTGGTCACACCGCAGTTCCTTCTCCTCATTTCTCCGTCCTGTTGGAATTTTGAACACACCCATATGCACACCTGGCATGCTTTCTAAGCCACTGGGGCCAGGATTCGAAGTACAGCTGGCCACGTCGGACCCAGCTCCTTTAACCTGGGCCGTGGGACTGGCCCCTTACCATCCTTATTGTTTAAAATTAAAGATAGCAGAGTCAGCTTCTAGTGCTCATTAATAATCTAGATGAAACATGTAATGACTTGCCATGTGTCTTTTTGTATTGGCAATCATATGTAGCACAGTGAAAGGAAAACAACATTTTGGGTACAGGACAAGTAGACTACTATTATTCAGCAATATTTGTATTTCCTGTGAGTGTCATTGGACATGGTGACTGGAGTGCGTTAATGAGTATGATAGCTCTGGCCAGACTTTTCATTGGTTTTGTTTTCAGTCTTAAGATAATAATCCTATCAGGGCTGGCAGGTGGCATGATTAAAGGCACTGGACTCCCACTTGTCTGGCCATGGTTCGAGTCCTGGACCTGGTGACTTGCTTTCTGACTTTCCCTCTCTCTCTTTCTCTGACTCCCTCTGATCAAACTGGAAAATAATAATAAATAAAATTGAATAAAAATAATTTTAAAAAGAAAATAATCCTGGGAACCAGCAGTTAGTGTAATGGCTATGTCGCTGGACTCCCACGTAGTCAACCACGGTTCGCGTCCCGGACCCGGTGGCTTAAAACTCAACGCCGGGCACGTGTGCGTGCGTGCCCAAGATCCCGAGAGGAGAATGGAGGAGAAGGGATTGCGGCGTGACCTTCCACCCTGGGGGGTGATTTCTTGCTTTCTGTCTCTAATGTCTCTTTCTGTCTGTCTGGCAAGTGCACGCGCCCTATAGCGAAAATCTCTCCCCCCCCCAAAAAAAAAGAATAATCCTACCATTGGACTAAGAAATAAAAAGCAAAGAAATTAAATGTCAGGAGCTTCCCTTAATTATCTCATCTTTAACCTGAATCTATATTAATATGTTAACTGTTAGTTGTGGTTACAAAACACAGATCACATTTTTTAATCCCAGCATTTGATAAGTATCTTTTCTGTAAAATGTTGAGTGTCTGTCCACACTGAGTAGATACTGTCTTCTGATGTCACTTATTTGAGGTTCTAAAGTTACATTTTCTGTAATAAAATTTTATGTATAAAATTTTTTTTAACATTGAAATGTTGCTCCTGAAATTATTTCAGTATGTTGCAGGACAAACAGTTATTGTCCCATCTATAAATGGAAAGTTTTCTCAATGCAAGCACAAATAACACATTTTTAGAACGTGGCTCACGTACATTTATGTATATAATTGTATAGCCCTGAATTATACAGGCAAGTAAGATAGTACTGGGCTTCAAAAATGTAAGCATGAGGGGCCAGCAGGTGGCACGGTGGTTTAGGGCACTGGACTTCCACATGGCCAACTGCGGTTTGAGTCCCAGACCTGGAGGCTTTTGCTTTCTCACTTTGCCTCAGTCCCTTTCTCCCTCTTTCTCTTGCTCTGTTCCTCATTTAGTTCACTTAACTTTATTTATTTATTTTTATATGACCAGAGAGGGACGGAGTGAGAGAGAGAAGTGAGAAAGCAAGCCACGAGGTCCGGAAATCAAACCGCAGTCGGTCACGTGGGAGCTCAGTGCCCTCAGCCACTATGCCACCTGCTGGCCCTATTAAAATAATTCATAAAAAAGAAAATGTGAATAGCTTCTAAAACACTTCTGATGAGACGCAGGACGGACATGGGAGCTATTCTTTTATAAATGTGTCCAACTCTGAGTAAGTAATTGATGGTACAGATTCCTGCCCGTGAATAAGCATAAATCATGCGGCCAGTCGAAGCATCACGTCAACTCTTCTCCCCTCCTTCTCACCAGCTGTTTTAATAGCAGCATGTCCTCATAATGCTGAGCAAGTGACTGACAGTCCTGGATTCGTTAAGTGGGAGTTTCGATTCGTTCAGAGTAGTTTAGTTATAAGCAAATCGGAGAGAGCATGAGACATTTTGGCTTCTGAAGAACTGGTGAAAGAGAATAATTTTTATTTCTGGCAGAGGTGAAAGACTGAGCACAGAATGGTGTGCGGTAAGCCAGTTGTAGAATGTTCACTAGGACATGAAGCCAGGTGATTGCATGGTTAACCAACTTTTAAAAAACGTCGTCTTTTCACAGGAAGAAGACTTTCAAGAAATGATTAAATCTGCACAGATGATGGAGAATCAGTACGGTCATCTTTTCGACAAAATTATAATAAACGACGATCTCACTGTAGCATTCAATGAGCTGAAAACAACTTTCGACAAGTTAGAGACCGATACCCATTGGGTACCAGTGAGTTGGTTGCATTCATAACTAAGAGGAAGTTACGTAGTTATCTTTTTGTATAGAGTGCATGGCTCAGTCAGTTACCATTTGGGTGGGAGGGTTTTCAAATCTGTATCAGTATCCTGGAGTCCAATCTTGGTTGACATCAAATGCCGGTTTTGTTTGTATCTTTTTACAGCCTTATTTGAAACACAGTGCAGAACACCCGCAATCAAAATTTACACAGTCCTGTCTTCTGAGCAAAATGCTGAACCTTCTGGGTGTCTTTAATGTAGTTCTAGCTCCAAGATGAGATTGAGTTTTTTTGGTTGGTTGGTTTTTGAGAGTTTTTTGCCTTAGGGCACATGCACTCACCCAAAGAAAGAGTTGAAGACTGTGGGAGGGAAAATGAGAAATCATCCCCTGGAGGCGATGGCCATGCTGCAGTCCCTTCCCATTGTCCTTCCAGGATCTTGGGTGCCTGCACACACAAACACGCACGCACGCATGTGCACACATACATGAACACATATCCAGCATGCCTTTCAAGCCACCAGGTCCAGGACTCGAACTGTAGTCGACCATGTGAGAGTCCAACAATGTAACCACTATACCATCTGCTGGCCCTGAGGTTGAGATTTTTGAAGAGACAGAAGTTATAAACAGACATGTGTCCAAGTTTAGCGCTTCAGCTGGTCTGAGACATGGTCCCTGTCTCCAGGTCAGTAAGTTAGCAATGGAAGGTATGAACTTCAACAGCCTCAAGCAGCTGCAGACAGGACAGCTCCACTACCTATGGGTGGAGTTAAATCAGATTTCACTGAACTGGCAGTAAAATCTCTTACTATTCAAAAAGCGCAAACTTTTTCTTATGTACACACAAGGTGGTTCACGGTGTGCGCATTTAAAATTTTTCTTAAAGGAATAACTGAACATTTACATTGAGTGACCTTCGTATTATAGTTTGAGAAATCTTTATGAGTATAGATCAATACATATCAACAAATATTTGATAAGGAAAAATAGGCTTTAAAATTACTATATATGCAACTAAAAACCTTTCCTTATGACATTAATCTCAGTAAGAACAGTGGTATGCTGGGCCAAGAACAACTACAAAGGACATTTTATTTATAAATCCTCAGAAGACATTTGTGGAGTCACCAAAAGATTTTTTTTAAGCTAGCTTTGAATTTTCCCAAAAATGGTAAGGCATGTTTTACGTATTACTGATACAGTTAAAGAAAATGTGGTCATTTTTAAAAATATGTGCAATTGATCACTGTATATTTAAATTCAGATGTGCTTTAGAAAACCTTTCTTGTAACATTATTTCTTTATCATCAGAAAGATTTTTAACACTGGCTAGATACCATCCTTGACTCTGTTGTTAAAGAAGTTGAAGAAAGATTCTTATATTGTAAATATTTAGATGAGCTTTCTCAGTTTTCTTTGATACTACTGGTCCTTAGCAAGTGAAATCCATAGTTAAAAACACGAGAAATGTCTGTAAGTTCCATAAGAGAACATATCCTGCCATTCTTGCTTGCAGTAAGACCCCGCCCGTCAGAAATCACTGCATCTGTGACTTTCAAACAGGAAAAAAAAAGAGCTAGTTTTTTGTTAATTTGTAAAAAGAGTTTAGATGTCATGTTTAAAGAAAAATAGAATGTAGTAAAATTTTATATATTTATGAAATATTTGAAAGGCATATTTTTTTAATTATAAAATGAGGCTATTCATAAATTGTATGTAAAAGATGTCATAATTTAAAATAGTAGTTTTATAAATGAAGGTCCACATTCCATGTAAATATCTGACCTTTACACAGATAGATCCACAAGTGTGTTATATATGCATTGCACCTTCGAAAGAATTATTCACCAGATTTCCTTCAGGCATGTCAAATTATACACTAGAAACAGAAACTTCTCCGATGGCCTTGATACTTGACACCAAAATTATTGGCTATTCAAACAAAATGTTACATAACAACACAATCCAAACAGTGAGTTCCAAGTTTATCAATTAAATATTAAATGACTTCGTTTTTAAAAAAAGTGAGATGGAGGATTACTGAGTCTGATATGAAAGCCACACTTCACGTCTTCAGTAGATGGTTTGGGTTAAATATTCTGTCTTTAGACATAGACTAAAAATTTCTTATAAATCAAGACTTTCTATACACAGAGTGATGGAAATATGTAATAATGTAGGAAATCATCTGAATAATTTACTCAGTCCAAATTCTTTACCCTGCAAGAGCCACTTTGATATTTTCATTTGTGTTGCAGATAATTGCTAGAGGGATAGTGTAAGGTGGCGGAAACTGAGTCTTTTGGGTGATGGTGGGAAAAGGAGTGTTAGAAAAATGTTGACTGTCCAGACTTTTCTCCCTTTTTAAACCAGAGCTAGAATAATATATATATTTTTTTAATGGTGAAAAGAAAGAGACACTTTGGTGATTTGAGAAATCTGGTGGAATAGTCTCCCAAATGGTGTGATGAGGCCATGGTGATGATTAGAAAGAGATTTGATTTAAATTTAATATAGCAGAGCCAACTCCAAGGAGTCTTTGCTAACTGTAGGAAAGGCTCTTGGTTCTACTCTCTCTCTCGCCAGCTCCCGTCTCCATCAAAGAGAGTAACACTGTACTTCTCACTTAGCCACCTGCCCCCCAGATGGAGTGTCAGCCACTATTTGAAAGAAGAGAAATATTTGCCTTTTACAGTCCTTATATTCAAGATCTATGACCAAGAAAGAAATTCTTCTTTCTGTGATTGGTACATGAGAGTTGATTAAAAATAAGGTGAAACTGAAATACAATTTTTTACCTTGACTGTACTGACCAATGTGCAAGTTTTGGGTATCTTAATGATTGAATGTATCTAAATTGTAATAATTTAAAATTGACAAATATGTAACCTCAGATTTACAAAACTGTTGTGAAAATCTTCCTAAAGATGCAGATTTTTAATATTTATTTTCTTTTTAACCAGTAAGGATTTATAAGTAAATGTAATGGAAAACCTCTAATCTTAATAAAGTATCTTCAAATGATGTGTGTTCTTCTTCAAAGATGTTTGTGCACTTGGGCACGCTATTCTGTTATACTGCTGTTCTGTTCTATTATACTGGTTCTCCTGGTAGGACAAATTCTATTTTCTAGTGCAGTATGGAATGACTTATTAGAACTTGCCATGTCTGAAATTAAATTTCATTTTTTTTTTCAAACACTGCTTTGATCAAGGTTGTTGGAGAGGTAGAATGTACTAGTCTTGCTCTTACCCATACAGCAGTTTAAAGATGTCAGAAAATACAGTGAATGAATGATCCAGAAATATCCATGATGGAAATACCTCTCCTCCACTCTCCATTTCTTGTCCCCACTCCTCAATTCAGGAATCAAGAGTGTCGTACACACTCTTCTCTGGGTTCCAGTTAGGCAAAACTAAACTTCTTCTGCTTGTACATATGAACTGTCAGCTGGTTATATGCCAAACTGAAAACTGTTGGCTGGGACCAGCAGGTGGCATAGTGGTTACCTCACTGGACTCCCATGTAGTCAACTATGGTTCAAGTCCTGGACCCAGCATCTTAAAAAACTCATGCCAGGTACATGTGCATCCAGGCTCAAAATTCCAAGAAGAGAATGGAGAAGGGATTGTAGTGTGGCCATCCCCCTTAGGGGATGATTTCGCACTTTCTGTCTCACTGTCTCTCGGGTGAGTGCACATGCCCTATAGCAAAAATCTCTTTAAAAAAATCGATCTTGCTTCAATATTTGAGCTCTTCAGTATTTTCACAGAAGGAGTGTTTGGTTTAGCAGGTAAAAGAGAGATCTGGAACCCGCTTGAGTTCTGATTCTGCTTTTACCTGTTACCAACTCTGCAACCTTGGGGAAAATATGAAATGTTTCTAGTCTTCATTTTCTCATCAGAAAAATAGGGACACTCATAGTGCTTACCTCACAGGATTGTTATGGGCACAAAACGAAAGAATGTGTTTGAAGTACATAAACCAAAACCCGCGACAGAAGTATTCAGTGATGTGAGATCCTGTTTCAGTATCTTGCCCCAGGTGACATAAGTGATGAAGAGCAGATCCTGTTATAACAAGGTCATGGAAGTTTTTTTAGGTGCAAAAATAAAAGTTGGAAACCTCTGCATTTTTTTTTTCGTAATTCTTATTTTCAAGAACTTTTTTGAAGCATCTTTATGCTTTAATCATGCTGATTATAATGATTTGTTTATATGTTCAGTTGTAACACCTATTCACTCTGGCCTTAGTTTCCTCATCTGTAAAGAAAGAATCATAATAATAATAATCCACCATACGCCTTTGCTTAGAGGACTTATCCTGAGTTAGTGTTTGTGGTAGTGCTCTAAACGGCGCTTGGCACATAGTGAATGCTCTCTTGGTGTCTGAGTCTGTTTTCTATTGCCGAAATGAAATACCACACCCTGGGTAATTTATAATGAACAGACATGTGTTTTCTTAAAGTTCTGGAGGACAAGAAGTCCAAGAGCAAAGGGCCAGCATCTAGCAGGGTCTTCTTGTTGTATCATCTCTGGTGGAAGGTGAGAGAGAGAAAACATGAGAGGGGACAGACCCACTCCCATGATAATGAACCCGCTTCTGCAGTAATGCATCAGTCCATTTATGAGGACAGAGGTCCCATCTTAAAATATCGCGAAAATGGGACCGGCAGTTAGTGTAATGGCTATGTCGCTGGACTCCCACGTAGTTGACCGCGGTTCGCGTCCCGGACCCAGTGGCTTAAAACTCACGCTGGGCATGTGTGCGTGCGTGCCCAAGATCCCGAGAGGAGAATGGAGGAGAAGGGATTGCGGCGTGGCCATCCACTCTGGGGGGTGATTTCTCGCTTTCTGTCTCTCTGTCTCTCTCTCTGTCTGACGAGCGCACATGCCCTATAGCAAAAACCTCTCAAAAAAAAAAATCACAAAAATGGCAACAAACATTAGCAATAGGTATTTGGAGCTTTGTTATTTGCCAGAAGACTAATGTGCTCCAGACAGAGACGGGGGAAAAGTGAGAAAGCACCCCAGTGGAGCATGGCCATGTCACAATCCCTTCTCCTTCATCTCTCCTTCCTTTTGGGATTTTAGGCTTGCATGCACACACCCCAGTTTTTTGTTTTGTTTTGTTTTAGAGCATATATAGAATATTTTATTTTATAAAAATATATTGGGGTATTTTATATATAATATAGCAATCTAGTTAATGTTGACAAATGTCAGTGTTTTAAGTCACCCATTACATACAAAAAAGAACCCAAATGACAGTCAGCAGATATTTTACCCCTGAAAGACAAAATGTCTGATTTATTTTTTTCTTGTATTTTTTGAAGAAGATATTCCATTTGTAAATTCAAGTTTGGTTGGCCC